CAAAGTATAGTCCTAGTGATGGAAGTTTGTCAGAGTGGCACCTTGTCATAGGAGTGTGTGTTGTCAGGTTGAAGGGAGCGTACCCCAATCTTACGTTACACAACAATGTGCCTCGTCAAAGTATAGTCCTAGTGATGGAAGTTTGTTAGAGTGGCACCTTGTCATAGGAGTGTGTGTTGTCAGGTTGAAGGGAGCGTACCCCAATCTTACGTTACACAACAATGTGCCTCGTCAAAGTATAGTCCTAGTGATGGAAGTTTGTCAGAGTAGCACCTTGTCATAGGAGTGTGTGTTGTCAGGTTGAAGGGAGCGTACCCCAATCTTACGTTACACAACAATGTGCCTCGTCAAAGTATAGTCCTAGTGATGGAAGTTTGTTAGAGTGGCACCTTGTCATAGGAGTGTGTGTTGTCAGGTTGAAGGGAGCGTACCCCAATCTTACGTTACACAACAATGTGCCTCGTCAAAGTATAGTCCTAGAGTGATGGAAGTTTGTCAGAGTAGCACCTTGTCATAGGAGTGTGTGTTGTCAGGTTGATGGGAGCGTACCCCAATCCTACACAACAATGTGCCACGTCAAAGTATAGTCCTAGTGATGGAAGTTTGTCAGAGTAGCACCTTGTCATAGGAGTGTGTGTTGTCAGGTTGAAGGGAGTGTACCCCAATCTTACACAACAATGTGCCTCGTCAAAGTATAGTCCTTGTGATGGAAGTTTGTCAGAGTGGCACCTTGTCATAGGAGTGTGTGTTGTCAGGTTGATGGGAGCGTATCCCAATCCTACACAACAATGTGCCTCGTCAAAGTATAGTCCTAGTGATGGAAGTTTGTCAGAGTGGTACCTTGTCATAGGAGTGTGTGTTGTCAGGTTGATGGGAGCGTACCCCAATCTTACACAACAATGTGCCTCGTCACAGTATAGTCCTAGTGATGGAAGTTTGTCAGAGTGGCACCTTGTCATAGGAGTGTGTGTTGTCAGGTTGATGGGAGCGTATCCCAATCCTACACAACAATGTGCCTCGTCAAAGTATAGTCCTAGTGATGGAAGTTTGTCATAGTGGCACCTTGTCATAGGAGTGTGTGTTGTCAGGTTGATGGGAGCGTATCCCAATCCTACACAACAATGTGCCTCGTCAAAGTATAGTCCTAGTGATGGAAGTTTGTCAGAGTGGCACCTTGTCATAGGAGTGTGTGTTGTCAGGTTGATGGGAGCGTATCCCAATCCTACACAACAATGTGCCTCGTCAAAGTATAGTCCTAGTGATGGAAGTTTGTCAGAGTGGTACCTTGTCATAGGAGTGTGTGTTGTCAGGTTGAAGGGAGCGTACCCCAATCTTACACAACAACGTACCTCGTCAAAGTATAGTCCTAGTGATGGAAGTTTGTCAGAGTGGCACCTTGTCATAGAAGTGTGTGTTGTCAGGTTGAAGGGAGCGTACCCCAATCTTACACAACAATGTGCCTTGTCAAAGTATAGTCCTAGTGATGGAAGTTTGTCAGAGTGGCACCTTGTCAAAGGAGTGTATGTTGTCAGGTTGAAGGGAGCATACCCCAATCTTACACAACAATGTGCCACGTCAAAGTATAGTCCTAGTGATGGAAGTTTGTCAGAGTGGCACCTTGTCATAGGAGTGTGTGTTGTCAGGATGTCGGGAGCGTACCCCAATCTTACACAACAATGTGCCTTGTCAAAGTATAGTCCTAGTGATGGAAGTTTGTCAGAGTGGCACCTTGTCAAAGGAGTGTATGTTGTCAGGTTGAAGGGAGCATACCCCAATCTTACACAACAATGTGCCACGTCAAAGTATAGTCCTAGTGATGGAAGTTTGTCAGAGTGGTACCTTGTCATAGGAGTGTGTGTTGTCAGGTTGAAGGGAGCGTACCCCAATCTTACACAACAATGTGCCTTGTCAAAGTATAGTCCTAGTGATGGAAGTTTGTCAGAGTGGTACCTTGTCATAGGAGTGTGTGTTGTCGGGTTAAAGGGAGCGTACCCCAATCTTACACAACAATGTGCCTTGTCAAAGTATAGTCCTAGTGATGGCAGTTTGTCAAAGTGGCACCTTGTCATAGGAGTGTGTGTTGTCAGGTTGAAGGGAGCGTACCCCAATCTTACACAACAACGTACCTCGTCAAAGTATAGTCCGAGTGATGGAAGTTTGTCAGAGTGGTACCTTGTCATAGGAGTGTGTGTTGTCAGGTTGATGGGAGCGTACCCCAATCTTACACAACAATGTGCCTTGTCAAAGTATAGTCCTCGTGATGGAATTTTGTCAGAGTGGTACCTTGTCATAGGAGTGTGTGTTGTCGGGTTGAAGGGAGCGTACCCCAATCTTACACAACAACATGCCACGTCAAAGTATAGTCCTAGTGATGGAAGTTTGTCAGAGTGGTACCTTGTCATAGGAGTGTGTGTTGTCAGGTTGAAGGGAGCGTACCCCAATCTTACACAACAACATGCCACGTCAAAGTATAGTCCTAGTGATGGAAGTTTGTCAGAGTGGTACCTTGTCATAGGAGTGTGTGTTGTCGGGTTGAAGGGAGCGTACCCCAATCTTACACAACAACATGCCACGTCAAAGTATAGTCCTAGTGATGGAAGTTTGTCAGAGTGGTACCTTGTCATAGGAGTGTGTGTTGTCGGGTTGAAGGGAGCGTACCCCAATCTTACACAACAACATGCCACGTCAAAGTATAGTCCTAGTGATGGAAGTTTGTCAGAGTGGTACCTTGTCATAGGAGTGTGTGTTGTCAGGTTGATGGGAGCGTACCCCAATCTTACACAACAATTTGCCTTGTCAAAGTATAGTCCTAGTGATGGAAGTTTGTCAGAGTGGTACCTTGTCATAGGAGTGTGTGTTGTCGGGTTGAAGGGAGCGTACCCCAATCTTACACAACAACATGCCACGTCAAAGTATAGTCCTAGTGATGGAAGTTTGTCAGAGTGGTACCTTGTCATAGGAGTGTGTGTTGTCAGGTTGAAGGGAGCATACCCCAATCTTACACAACAACGTGCCTTGTCAAAGTATAGTCCTAGTGATGGAAGTTTGTCAGAGTGGTACCTTGTCATAGGAGTGTGTGTTGTCAGGTTGAAGGGAGCGTACCCCAATCTTACACAACAATGTGTCTTGTCAAAGTATAGTCCTAGTGATGGAAGTTTGTCAGAGTGGCACCTTGTCATAGGAGTGTGTGTTGTCGGGTTGAAGGGAGCGTACCCCAATCTTACACAACAATGTGTCTTGTCAAAGTATAGTCCTAGTGATGGAAGTTTGTCAGAGTGGTACCTTGTCATAGGAGTGTGTGTTTTCGGGTTGAAGGGAGCGTACCCCAATCTTACACAACAATGTGCCTCGTCAAAGTATAGTCCTAGTGATGGAAGTTTGTCAGAGTGGTACCTTGTCATAGGAGTGTGTGTTGTCAGGTTGAAGGGAGCGTACCCCAATCTTACACAACAACAACGTGCCACGTCAAAGTATAGTCCTAGTGATGGAAGTTTGTCAGAGTGGTACCTTGTCATAGGAGTGTGTGTTGTCAGGATGTCGGGAGCGTACCCCAATCTTACACAACAATGTGCCACGTCAAAGTATAGTCCTAGTGATGGAAGTTTGTCAGAGTAGCACCTTGTCATAGGAGTGTGTGTTGTCAGGTTTATGGGAGCGTACCCGAATCTTACACAACAACATGCCACGTCAAAGTATAGTCCTAGTGATGGAAGTTTGTCAGAGTGGCACCTTGTCATAGGAGTGTGTGTTGTCAGGTTGAAGGGAGCGTACCACAATCTTACACAACAATGTGCCTTGTCAAAGTATAGTCCTAGTGATGGAAGTTTGTCAGAGTGGCACCTTGTCATAGGAGTGTGTGTTGTCAGGTTGAAGGGAGCGTACCCCAATCTTACACAACAATGTGCCTTGTCAAAGTATAGTCCTAGTGATGGAAGTTTGTCAGAGTGGTACCTTGTCATAGGAGTGTGTGTTGTCAGGTTGAAGGGAGCGTACCCCAATTTTACACAACAATGTGCCTTGTCAAAGTATAGTCCTAGTGATGGAAGTTTGTCAGAGTGGTACCTTGTCATAGGAGTGTGTGTTGTCAGGTTGAAGGGAGCGTACCCCAATTTTACACAACAATGTGCCTTGTCAAAGTATAGTCCTAGTGATGGAAGTTTGTCAGAGTGGTACCTTGTCATAGGAGTGTGTGTTGTCAGGTTGAAGGGAGTGTACCACAATCTTACACAACAATGTGCCTTGTCAAAGTATAGTCCTAGTGATGGAAGTTTGTCAGAGTGGTACCTTGTCATAGGAGTGTGTGTTGTCGGGTTGAAGGGAGCGTACCCCAATCTTACACAACAATGTGCCTTGTCAAAGTATAGTCCTAGTGATGGAAGTTTGTCAGAGTGGCACCTTGTCATAGGAGTGTGTGTTGTCAGGTTGAAGGGAGCGTACCCCAATCTTACACAACAATGTGCCTTGTCAAAGTATAGTCCTAGTGATGGAAGTTTGTCAGAGTGGCACCTTGTCATAGGAGTGTGTGTTGTCGGGTTGAAGGAAACATACCCCAATCTTACACAATAACGTACCTCGTCAAAGTATAGTCCTAGTGATGGAAGTTTGTCAGAGTGGCACCTTGTCATAGAAGTGTGTGTTGTCGGGTTGAAGGGAGCTTACTCCAATCTTACACAACAACGTACCTCGTCAAAATATAGGCCTAGTGATGGAAGTTTGTTTGGGTGGCACCTTGTTTAACTCAACTCAAACCTGTTATGTTAATTCTATGTAATTCTAAAGTACGTAATAGTCCAGTGCATTTACTTAAAAATTGCCTATGTCTACATCTTAATTGAAAATTTACCTTATACTGCCAATTAATATGCAACGAACTCTTTTTAAATTTTTTTATGTTATCTGATCACCGAAGGAACTAATGTTTTAGAGGTTGAGGTTTTTGTTTGACTAAATACCCCGCACTAACAAATATGCACAGTAAGGAGGCTACAAACCAGCTGTACCTGGGGCTGTAGATGAGCAGGGCTGGAGGTTTTCTGGAGCTGATGAAGAGCTGGGCAGGAGGTCTGCAATCGGTGGAAGTGGAAAACTATAAGCTGTGTGGAGTACATTGAAGGTCAAAAGCACGTCTCTTTGTCGTGTGAGGTTCATTTCTTGATTCTCCAAATTCAGACTCCCATCCATTAGTTGTTTAATTATTGTTAATCTTTGAGCCACTGGGGAACAAATTTAATAAATTTTAGGAAATGGAGTTCAAGTATTGAATGAATTTCAATAAACGTATGTTCAAATTTCTATTTCAAAGATATTGAAATAGAGCTAAAACAATCTTTTTTGGAGCAACACAGCTAGAAGATAAATATGGACAGTATCCTAAAACAACATAAAAATATTCCCCATACCGTACGTCATCGGAGTTATTATTACTATGTTATCTCTGCCTTTGGAAGAACCTTTAAATAGTATTACAATTGTTTTGGTGGATCTTTTGTAGTTAAACACTTCCGTGATTTCATCAGTGTAATATGATTTTATTTCAAAAGAAAATATTTTTTTGGAAGACATATTGTAACTTCACAAAGGTAGGTAGGGTTTATATCCTTTACGGTGTAAGTTAGATTTTTACTTCGTCACGTCGCGTCAGTTCATATCGTACTTCTGTACAAATGAATGAACCCTCTAGCATAGTTGTGAGAAATTGATTGTGGGGTTACTGTTAAAGCTGGAATTTCTTGACATGGGGGATGTCAGTTAGTTGTCTCAGCCTTATCAATAACATAAAGTTGTCAATAAAATCTCTCTACGGAATGTTAGGTGTAGTGGAATACTTGATGCGAAGTTGGCTTTTATTCTTGAACTGTTAGGGACCTCCTAGTTCATATGATCTTGCGGCTTCATCGGCAACAAATAATGCAAATGACATAGCAATGGGACATTTCCTAAAAGCAAAAATACTGTAAATTGGCAGTTATGAATATATTGACGTTTACATATTGTTAATCAACGTATCTTATAAAGGATTATGTGATCTAGTTTAAAAGGAATATGACCTTTCTGTCGTGAAAGGAGCTGCTTAAATAGTATTTTCTCTTTATACCTACCATATTTTACAGCCAAAATGTCGTGTTATTTTCATTAATGTTACCAACCCAATGCGCCAAAGTCCATGGTATAGGCAGGTGCAAATAATTTGTCAAGATAGGTACCATTTTAGGCAAGAGGTAAGGTTTCTATGTTCAGATTTTATTAGACACGATAAGAGCAGATATTTCTACTTGAATATTTGATATGTGTAGAATAATATAATAAAATGTAGGCAAGAGTGGTGGAAAAGGCAGACACCAACCCGTTAAATAGATATAAGATAGTTCAATAAGAAATAATTTAAGAATTGTTATGATAAAAGGATTTTCCACTGATTTCGTAATGGAACGTTATATTGTAAAACATGACATGATAAAGAAGAAAATCAATTTTAAAATCAGAAAATATATTGCAAATACTTTTTTGGTAAAATTCAGTAACTCCCGATAAATGTGTGTTGTTTGAAATACAATTTAAAAATGAACAGCTGTTTCATAAAAAAGTATTATTCACATGGCCAAAATGTAAACAACTCTGTGGAGGGATCTTTAAAGGCTTCTGGGGCAGAGTCCTAAGGGATTTTGCTTAGTTTTTCTTTTGATAACTCATCTACAGACCAAGACCTTTCTTTGGACACCTCTACCAAGTTTCTACGCCCAGTCGTTCTCTCAAATTAGTGTGGACAAAGTTTCTAATTAAATATTTAGTTTCCCCCATGTTAATCTTATGGGAGAAACTCCAACTTTGATGGCCTGTGGGGCAAAGCCCGAGGATTTTTATTGCAGGAATTGTTGAAAGGGGGCGTCTACACAAAAAATACTTTATTTTGACACGTTGTTTGTAAAAATCCGTCCATTATTATCGGAGGAGTAGTGTTTCGTAGAAATCGCCTTCACGTGTTATATAAGGATAATACAAGACATAATAAACGGTATCAGCAATCTGACTCATACTTTATTCATAAGTATGTGGCTTGTCAACAACCTTTATCTTGGGTAAGGGGTGGGAGTATAACTGAAATAACAAAAGTTATTTTATACTGAAATAACAAAAGTTTCAATAACTTTTAACTCGTAATTGTTACAGCAATGGCGGGTTGCACTATTTTGTTTGGAATTATAAGGACCATAACACATTAATTAAAATTGAAACCGGTTTTTCACTCAAATTTTATTTTTTGTTATTATATGGGAAATTAACACAAGTATCAATAACTTTTGAACCGTAATTTTTACGGAAATGGGATTTGTACCATTTTGTTCAGAATTTAAAGTACTATTACATAACAAAATCTTTACCAAAATCTTTCAGGCCATTTTTGAGACAGTTCCATTTTTGGTTAATTTATGGGTTTAAGGGAAAATCACCATTAAAAAGAGATATAAAGAGATATATTAAAGAGAGAAAGAGATACCACGGATTGGTACCTACATACCAAATTTCATGAAAATCTGACTACAGGTGTGGCCTGTAGCTCTGTACACATCCACACACACAGACATCACTTTGAAAACAACTTTTTTGGGTTCAACTGAAAAATTTTGACGAAAACATTACTTTCTCCAAATACTACTACAGTAGAGTCCCGCAAACTCGGCACTCGATAACCCGGCAGTCTGGATAACTCGGCCATCACCTGGCTCAGAAAATTAGTGATTTTTTTAGTTCGAGTTAAACATGGACTCAAGCCAGCTCAAGTCAAATCATTCACAACTCGTACCAAGGATTTGTTGTACTATGTCTGATGACTTAATACTGACCTGTAAAAATAAATATAAATAAAAAATGCAATTAAAAAGTTTAAAAATTTGTATTGCTCTTATTTTTAACCCTAGTTTCTGATAACCCGGCATTTCACAAACTCGGCACCCTTCCAGTCCACATTATGCCGAGTTTGCGAGACTCTACTGTATATCGGAAGAAAATAAAAATGAAATACGTAGTCCCAACTCATCATGGATTAAAATTTTACGAGAAAATGAATCATATTTTGGGAAAGAAATGTTCTATGTACTTACCAAATAGGATTTAAGTTTGAAAAAAATATTGATAAATTTATGAACAAACTTAAAGAATTCATGGTAAACAAACCAAAGTATTTTTAGATGAGTTTTTCCACCTCTGTTCAGAACAGAAATAAAGATATGTATGAGATCAATGATGTTTAGTAATTACTGATGTATAATTACGGTAATAATTGACACTATTTATATTTTCTAATGTGCAAGAAATAAATGAAGACCTTTTCATTTGATTTCTTTGCTACACAAAGCTGTTACCAGTAATCTGCACAACAGGCTACTGTAAACCCATAATTGGCATCTTACATTACAATAATTAATTGTTTAAATTAAAAGTTTAGTTTTAGTTTCACCAGTTTCACTCACCGTCAAAGGGCTCAAATCCAAGCATTTCCTCCAGAATTTTATCAACATCCCATTTGAACTCTACAAGGGGATCCCAGGTATTCAAGCCTTCACCTCCCTGAAAAAATAGTTAGATAACAGTATTGCCAAACAACAAACAAGTTTTCCACACACATTTCCACAGTAAACCCCCCAATTTTATTCTGTCATCAAGCAGGAATCCCCACAAACTCAAAACATGAAAAGATAAATTTGTAATGATAAAGAATGATAATGCTACCCTGAAACTTTCGAAGATTTTCTTAGAATTGGGTAAATATTTTTATATTCATTGTAAATTGCCCGAAAATGGGGCTTATTGACCTTAATATTATTAAGATGGGCTTATTTTAGCTTCGTTTTGCCCGTCCCAATTATTACTCATTTATTGTTAATGTTCAATAAGTCAATACTTTATTAAATACAGTACAAATTATTTTAACAATAGGCTTGCAACAACCCTTAGTTCAGTCAGTTAAAATTTAGTCTCTTATCTGACTATCTCTCTATTGATAACACTCAGAACCATAATTAGGATAGTCTAGGGTGGGCTACACACTGAAACCCCCAATGGCCAATATAACCTAATCCATGAAAGTATTTTATTTTAATTTATTATTTTTTACATTTTTAGCGAATTTCCCTATAGGGAAGTAGCTATTACCGTAGGTGGCACGGTAAGACCTAGACCCGGGACCGATTTACTTTTTCATTTTGATGTCCCCAGAGGCCAAAAACACCATTCGTTCAAATTTTTATATATATATACGTCCGTGAACGTGATAACTTGAGTAATTGTTGTCCGATTTTGATGAAATTTGGTTTAAAGGTGTAAGGCGGGATAAACTTGAATTAGTTCGCGAACCAGCATGATCGGACCACGGGAACGGGGTTTTACGGGGGTTTTTATGGGGTAAAAATTGGGGTTTCTCATTTTTGACCCTCAAAACACAAAATTTCTCAATTTCTCTCTAGACCTTTTTAAAGAGCTTAAAAAAACAAATAATTTAGTATATTAAAATGTTTTTGTACGGTTATCGGTAACGGAGAAAATTTAAAAAAATTATATATTTAAAATTCCCATGTTATTCTTATGGAGAATATTGTAAAATGTAGTTTGCTTGTTTATAGATAGGTATATTTTAAACTTGGCTAATTTATTTATTTTATACTAAGCTATTAATATTTTAGCAAAAAATACACTTTATTAGTTTCCTTGTAGCAGCATACCTATAGGTACTCGTTACACCTAATGTTATTAAATAGGTTTAATTGAAAATCAATTCAGACAAATGGAAATTCGCTTAGTCGGCAGGTTTGCTGCGGCGGGGGTATTTTTATTTCACTTTAGGTACTTTTGGCACTGAAGGGCAGGTAATAAAAATCCATTCTTGCAGTTTCGGGGCCATCACAGCAAATTATAATAACAGCGAGACTACAATTATTTTACACACTTTAATTAAGTCAGCTAATGATTTGCAAAACAATGTTGATGAATGCAAAAAAAAACCTGATCATACGAATTAGGGAGTATTCTACGCAAATATTGCAAGCAAACTATACACAAGTTTCATTATTTTCTCTGGTAAAATACAAATATTTAATTGGATTACAATTCCTCAAACCATACGCAAAATTTAAAACGTTGCTGGGGACGAATAATTGGGTAAGGTGGCCGATAAAAAAGGGGCTGAATCTTGACACATTGTTAAATTTAATCTTTAAATGTTTACAAACGAATGCAAAACCAAGGTAGCAGGTAAAAAAGAGGGGTGGGTTTTTTATCGTGAGGCACGGCACAATTCAGTGGAAGTGGATTGTAGTTGGATACGGGGTTTGTATATACCCAAGAAGACTTACTAACTATAACGAAACGATCAGTATAATTTCTAGAAAATATTCATACAAATAGACACTTCAACTATTACAAAAGTTACAAACGTATTTTCTAATAACATATTTTATCGTGACGTGCTCAAAAATTCCAGTCCGTCAACGATAAGATAAGACAAACAATAACTGCAAAATGAACAACAATCGTAATGTTTAAAAACGTCTGAATTCGTTTATTACATTATCAAATATTTTGAGAATACAATGAGGCAGGAGATAAAAGACGAGTCATATCCGGTCTTATCGCGCAGGTGCACTGGCGAGTGGCGATAGTGATTGCGTCCCAGTCGCGAAACTCTCCAAAGCATTGTATCATAGATAAAAGGAATAAAATAAAGATGTGAAACTACAAACTGTTATAAATATCGATGTAAACATCTCCACGCAAAAGTCATACAAAAATCCATTAATTTTACTAAATCAGTCGCAAGAGGATATACGGAATACAGTACTTATATATTCATATTATAAATAAGACGCGTTTAAAAATATATCAAGGAGTCAAGGATGAACCGGGAACGATTTTAATTATTAAACCCAGACAAAACAAACTATGAATATATAATAATTCATCCAAATCAAACATAGTGGTTTAATACCAATAAAACAACAACTATTGTACGAGATTGTACAGTGTTGCCAACTTCCTTTCCCTTTCACCCATTCATACAACATTTTGACTAATTGTAAGACGTACCTTTTTCTATTTTCAGATGATTTTGCTCTGAACACAATATTTTTCCTACAGTTACCTAACAATGTACATGTTCTCTCACTGATTTGAGAAAGCAAAGTGGCCAATTCGCTCATCAGTGAGACAATGTTAACATTGTCTCACTCTAATTACTTTGTCTCACTCCAGATTTGCAACGTGAAGGCGCGAAATAGTGAGCGCGTAACATGCAGGCAACGTCGTATGCGCGCGAAATACGTTGGCAGCACTGGCTGTAAATCAGCTGGTCAGCTGATGTACTGTTGTATTTGTCACTTCACATTAAATGTTATATTAAAAGTTCACCTCTGTGTAAAAATAGGTTATGTTTCTTTACAAATTTATTTGTTTTATGGTAACTGTAGGAAAAGTATAATGTGCAACTCGAGTTCAAAGTACAATTGCCTCACTCGAGAAACCCTGAGTAAGGATTTGAGTAAGGATTTATCTCGAGTGAGTCAATTGCTCACTTTTCTCACTAGTTGCACAAATAACTAATCCAGCACCAATTGCGTTAATATGGTTTTTACCATTATATCTTTTTGCAGGATGATAAGCATTACACTAACACCTCAATGTAAAAATCCGTAAGTATAACGGCTGAAAATTGAGTGATACGGGGAAAACTCTTTTTGTATTGGTTATTATAGATTTTTTATCCAAAGTTTTAAAGTAAGTTTTTCATTGATTGTTAAGGTGAGAATGAGATAGTGAATGAGATAAGAGGACAATGCGTTAAACTGCGGGAAAACACCGGGGCAAAAGGGTAGGTCATTAAAAATTACGTTAGTATCAGTCCAACTAAAATTAATTATTACACATGATTTATTATCATTTATACATATACAAGACGTTATTACGTGTCTTTGTCACAATATGTTTTTAAAATAAGATATGTGTAATAGGTGTCCCTAGTAATTTTAATGGCTAAGAATTGGATATCCTAAAATATTTGGGGATCGATACTGTATCGGGTTCGGCCTAGACAAATCACGAAATCCCTAGGGCCTCTTCACCTACCACGTCAGAAAAAGTGTGACACTATTTACTATGTTTTATTATTCTGGTCTATCACCGGGTCAAGTGTGTGGTGACGGTGACGTACAAGGGTCCAGGATGATAATCGGCCACTGCCTAAGTGGCGACTGATATACTGTATGGGGTGGCCCACGAAGAGGTTTAAATTTGAATCCATACAGGTGTTTAACGGGAACCCTGACAAACTTAATTGGTTTCTTGGATCAAAACTAGAAAATAACTTCATGTAGGTCCTAAGCTCATTCATTTTCTATTTACACGTTAAAATGGGGTTTTTAGGGTTTTAGTGTATTTGTTAAACATTTTGACCTCTAGATTGAAGGATATACAGAACATTTTGTGTAAATATCCTCGTATGGTAATCCCGCACTCGACTACTCGTGCGGTAAACACCTGTTTTCCGGTATAGTAACGTTTTACTATTCGTGAGTCATCACCTGATTTGTTTACGGTGTTACAGTTCAGTGACACTAATTGTTAACCAGCTGTTTGATTGAAAAATATTGTTTGAGTAAGGCATAGCCTAAAACTGCTCAAGTGCAGATTTACTGAAACTGGAGTAATCCAAATTTAAGATTGCCAACCCAAGAGTTGGACCAGGTAATCCAATCCAACAATAACTAAGTGGATAGTTTTTTTTTTTTTTTTTAGGAAATTGGTAGTGATGTTTAAGATGTCACTAGTCTTCTTGAACTCACTAGTCACTATATAGTCTCTTTGTTGATTTGATTTGTTGATTCATTGTTTTTGTTGTCTATTTATTTTGGTTGTAATGAAGTTATTTAAATTGATTTATGTTTTGTCGATCGATTGTTTTATCAAAATGTGTCGATTTGACTTTGACAAATTACTAATCACCTTATTAATTGATTGACTGTTGGATTTATTGACTGTCTCATTGGTAGATTTATTGATTCATTTATTTATGTATTTGCTCACACATATACAATATGTATATGTATGTATTTATGTATTCATACATCTATTGATTGATTAATGGAAGTAATATGCTGTATCTAACACAATCATCTAAATCGTATCATTTGCATACAAAACTGTACACATGGGGCAATTTAACTTAACCAACAACTTATCGTATGATCCTGGTATTATAACTCAACATCAATTTAAACTTGTTATACTATCTTTTATCAAGTAAGTAATAAAACGGTCAGGTTTGGAACATTCTATAAATCCTTTCTATAAACATTACAAACATATAAACAATCACATTGTTATTGAAATACTGAAAATTATCAAACAAAATACTTACATTAGCATTGTCAGAGAGATAAAAGGATTCATCAGAGTTTTCACCCATCTTGGCTCGTTTCTAAACCTTGAACATAACTGAGAAAATCAGGATATTATAATACAAACAGGTAAGTTCCTAGCACTCTATCAAAAACCTTTCACGAAAAGTATATTTATATTATGAAGTGACTCACCCGAAGAGTCTAGGAGAAAAAGTTTATCCTGAAAAATACGAGATCAGTTAACTCTACACTCGTATTACAGTCGGCAAAGAAGTGGGTGTACACAAACTCAGCCAAAGCTATATAATCATAAGATAAACTCCACACAGATAACTAAATAGTATTCAAAACAATAACATCCTGAAAAAATAACAGTTATTTTACAAAATAGATGACCAACAAACATAATGAAAACCACAATTATTTAACTATAATTAATCATGTATCAGCTGTTTGTGGTTCGGCATCGTTTATGTTTAGGTTAGGTGCATGTTTACTTTAGTGTTGTAGTGAACGATAAGGATATATTTAGTCTAAATCTATGACATTAATCATGTATCAACTGTTTGTAATTCGGCATTGTTGACATTGTTGTTATTTAGCAGTAAGTTTAGGTTAGGTTCATGATTAGTTTAGTTTTTCGGTCAACGATAAGGATGCTAAATCTACAAGAGTGTACGTTTTAATCTATGACATTAATCATGTATCAACTGTTTGTAATTCGGCATTGTTGACATTGTTGTTATTTAGCAGTATGTTTAGGTTAGGTTCATGATTAGTTTAGTTTTTCAGTCAACGATAAGGATGCTAAATCTACAAGAGTGTACGTTTTAATCCATGACATTAATCATGTTTGTAATTCGGCATTGTTGACATTGCTGTTATCAATGTGTTAGAGGTGATCCAGTTAAAGGTTTCAATTTAAAAGTTAAATACGAGCATTGCAGTTTGTTTACATAGTATATTTTTATTCATAAACATTTGTATGATAGTGACATTTAAAAATGAAAAGTGATATTTGTATCTTATAATTCAGCTCCTAGCTCTGGAATTGAATTGGGCTTGTTTAGGCAAACACTTAAAGTACACTTCAATTGTAACTTCGTTGCCGACCACTTGACTTACCATCCTGTGCATTTTCTTTAAATTAGACCAACGTACAAAAACTTCCCCCTTTGAAAAAAATTTTTACTATTTAAAAACGCATTCTTCAATCAAATAACGTTCCACAACAAATGGCATAAACATTGTAGCAAAACATCAGCTGTTGACATAAGGAAACCATGCACTTACTAAAAGTTGTAACCTTTAACTAAATCACTTTGTACATAATGATTAAAAATCTAAAAGAATGCAAGTATATTTTTTAGCTGAGTGAGAATGAAATTAGCATGCTAGTTAGCTTTGACTTAGCAGGTGAGTCATGCGTACGTGCCAGACTAGGCAATCTCGGAATGTTTATGCCCAATCAAGAATCAGCTGTTCCATTTAGCAGACTTATCACAACTAGGTATTGTATCCGGCACGCCTCGGCTGTAATCAAAACAACTCCGGGCATGGTTGGTACAGAGCAAATGCAAAGGTTAGTCAGGTCACTGGATAAAGTAGTTTTTTGGTACAGAATTGAGCTCAGTAGTCCTTTATCTTTGGAATGTTAATGGTCTTTGCTAAAGAAAACTAGATTGAGAGTAAGATCACGAAATTGAAAAGGCAACTTTTGGAAACATGTATTATGAATTGATTGACCGAGCAGAAGCTCTCATGAAAAACCAACCAATTCCAACCCCATTTAGGTCTGTAGGTTCAGTCTAATTTCTACAGTCAAATTAATCTCATTTTCACACCGCAACTCACGAAGTCACGAGTATCCGGTCCGTAATAATTTCAATCTGAATTCCAACTCATTCAACTAAGCCTACATTCTTTGAAAGGCATCTAATACTGACATTAAACTGTGCAATACTCTCCCTCTTCGAATCGAGTCCACATTCAGACCCGGGATGCTTCAAAAGTTGTTTGAAATCATTTCTCGTGGGTAAAGACGGTGACACACTACCGATCTTTTCCCCGGGGTCTTGGAACGGAGGAGGGCGGAGGGAGGGAGGTCGGAGGGAGCATGTTCGATAGTGTGTCAGGGGTCCGTACACCGATCCAGACGGCGAACCAAACATCACGCCGAGCAGGGAGACAAGCGCTCTGGAGGCGGTTTTTTGGCGAAAGATAAAAAATTTGGTCCGATGTACGATAGAGTGGCATGGTATATTTTTGCCCCGTACGCCGTCGCGAGCGGCCACCTGCGGTAGCGTTGACAGTTAAAATTGAATATATGACATTTAAGGTAAACGCACCAGTAGCTGACAGTATAAGAAACTATACGTACTTAATAATCCGTGGTTTTGAATAAATAGGAACTAAAGAGATATTACGGATTTTATGGGATTCTAAATTTAGTGTAGTTTTAAAATTTGTCACACAAAAAGGGTTTTTAAAATATATTTTATAACATTTTTGAACTTAATTCAAACTTTGTACGTGTTCCAGTGGCTGACAGTGAAAAAAGTGCTTGTACCAGTAGCTGACTATGTGTTGTCCCAGTAGCTGACACTGGAACTATAAATGTACTAGCTGCTAAACCTAAGGGTTTTATAATTTATAAGACGAAAAAAATCTAACTTAATAATTAAGTTATAAATAAAATCATGTAAAACGTTATTAAGAAAATTTATTTTACATATTTTAAAACAAAAATATTTACATTAAAAAAATATATATATATTTTATATATATTTAAAAAAAAATATAAATTTTTTAAATATATTTGGCTTATTAATTAAAAGATTAAAATCATTTTATAAAAATGTGAGATTACATAAATTAAATTTCGATGGGTAAAACTAATTTAATATTGTGCAAGTAGCAAATATCCCCTGTCAGCTATTGGAACTTGTATGGCTTTTGTGTACCAAAGCCTGACATTGATATAATTTGAAATCCAAAACCCCTAGAACCCCAATTTTATCATGAAATTGTCAACAAAGGTATAATTGATAAAAATAATGAGCCTAACCATTAATAATATTTAAGAAATTTTGCGAAATGACAAAAAACCAAACTTACCTTCTTAACCGTTTCATTAAGGGAATCGACTAAATGTGATGTGTACAGACAGGGTTGCTTTCTAACCACCACCATTCAGCGAGTATGTGCTAAATTTCACAGATTTTTTTGTAATCAAATCAGGAATAAACATATGTTCTTCTAACAATGCAATCATGTGTAAATATTTTTAAGAGACCACATTATAATGTAAAGAAACTCAAACTGTCAGCTTCTGGAGCACTGTCAGCTACTGGTGCATTTACCTTACACTCTTTAACTGATAAAATAAATAAATGTTAGATAATATTTTGCCGTTATATATTATGTTGTGATGGTGCATTTATGTTGTAATTTTGTGGTTTGTTTGGTCAAGGTTGAAAATGTATTTTCCAGGTTGAAACCGTTAAATAAATGATACCATCAATAATGTTTAATTTGAATTAAGTAATTGATGTTATACTTAAACTCTTTCAAAATCAATATAGACATTAATATTATTAGAGGTAATTAAAATGATAATTTTGTAACATGTTTTTACATGTCTTAAATTTTGTAACATGTTATTACATGTCTTATTACCGTTTTATTATTACTGCCTCCGCGCTCTCTGACACACACGCTCTCCATCTCTCTCTAAACTCCCTTGCTCCACGCTCGGTAGAACTCGTCTGGTCTTGGTCTTTTCGGAGAAATGTTCCGATTTAAATTTTGCTGATATTTGCCTCCCTTCTCCCTGCTCGGTTCGGAGTCTTGATTGGGGAAATATCGATTGTGTGTCACCGCCTTAAATTTATATTTAAGATGTTAGTTGATAGTCTTAGTAAAGTGGACTTGGCTAATGCATGTATTTTGTCAATCTAGCTTTGAAATAAATGAGTTATTGAGTTATCTATAGCCGTCTACGACGGCGGGGTAGAAATCTGAGCCAGATAAATGTTTTAAACCGATTGGTGGGACGATGTAATGCTTCATAAAGAACAGTTAGAGAGATATATATAATACAGAGTCATGTCTTTTAACTAATAAATATACCTAGTAATAATGAAAACGCGAAGTAAAAATACCTGAGAAACGGCTAACTTAAATACAATATCCCCGCCACAGCAAACATGTAAAATAATTTCCATTTGCATGATTGTATTTTCATTTTCATTATATATTTTTTAATGTTATTTTTACTCCCTATTTATCCCGTAAATCCCTGTTCCTATTAATCATGCTGGTTCGCAAACTCGTTCGAATAGATATAGGTTTACCCGTTTAAACCAATTTTCATAAAAATCTGATCAATTTTGCTTCATACAAAACGGAGATTTGGATTGCTTTGCATAGCAAATCTTTCAATAAGTATAAACTAGCAAAGAAAATTTAGTTTTGTGAACAGCAGAATCTCAGTTTTATATGGGTTAAATAAAATGCTCTCTTTTGCGATTAGCACGAAAAATAAAATCAATATCTAGGTTGGAAATTGGAGGTCAGTCACTCTCTTTCAACTACAGGAAAGCGAACTGACCTGAGTGACCCGACACCCCAATAACTGGAATGGCCCGTTTTGAAAGGAAATCTAAGAAATTGCATGAAGTCCATTCTGAGTAAGGTAGGGGATTAACGGGACATCTGTATTCTGTTCACTCATATTTGCTTTGCATTTCCAAGTATTGGTTGTTTATGTTTTGGACTAAACAATAGGTCGAATATTTTGTACCAGATGCCTGAAACTACATTTTACAACAGGTGTTTCGTTCCTTTTCCCAGTAATCTATTCATGGTTAGTTCCAGAATTAACAATAAGGCATCTGCTAGAGTTTCTAACACAAACGAGAGAAATTCACTAGAATTAAGTCTTCGCACCAATTGTTTATAAGAAATTTTACAAAAGTGTCAGAATTAGCATACTGTTATAATCTACAAATGTTAACATAATATACATTCAAACCAGCTATTATGAAATAAATATACAGTATTATATATCGGATGCATTGCA